GAGAAGGAATCAGAAAAGGATTACAGAGTGAACGGAAATGAGACACAGTCTTCCCTCTGTCATCTCTGTGAAACTGGGATTGGCTCTCAGATCTGAGTAGGCCTGCACACCCCACAGGTACTGGTAAGTCCAGAATTGGGGCTGTTACTGAAAAGTCACTTGATATTCCAGCCGGGACACTCTCTCTACTCTGCAGCTCCTCAGTATTCTACCAAAGCTAATAGGCTCTGATTCAAAAATTAGAGTTCTTCACAATATTTATCTGTCATAATAGAGAACAGGGAAATTTGTGAATAATTGAACAGCATAATTTTACATCTCTTGAGTTAGTGGTTTATTATCTTCAACAGAACTTGTACCTTTTTACTCTCTAAGGATGAGTAAATTCTATTGTTATCCTCTCTTCTACCTTATCTCTATATTGTAAACACCATGAGGGCAGGCACCCAGTTTTTATGCCTTTTTTCCCCTTCTAAGTAGTAGGCACTGTGCCTTGCTTATAGAAGGCATTAAACTTATTTAAAAACAAAGAACAACAACAACAAAACAACTTGGATAGATCACAAGCTTGAGGTCCAGATTTTAAAGAATCATTTTGAATGGAGGCCCATGGAGGCACTAGAAAGTTGTTGGTTTCCCCTCTCTGGGTCTTCTTACTCCTGAGCAAGCTCATAGGCCCTAGACTGGGACATATGCATGCATCCTGTTCAGCCAGTAATAGATTACCTAGTTACCTTCATGGGATGGTTAATGGTGACCTTTTGCTTAACATGAAAGATATCAAGATGGATGCTTCCCCCTCCCAAGAAAATTAGCAAGAGAAGTTATTTCTTTCCTTTATAACTTGGTTTGGATAAAACCAAGTTTTTCTTGAGAGAAAATTTTAACATAACCACTCAAAACTTTTATGTTGGGGCACCTGGGTGCCTCAGTCGGTTGAGCATCCGACGTCAGCTCAGGTCATGATCTCACGGTCTGTGAGTTCGAGCCCCGTGTTGGGCTCTGTGCTGACAGCTCAGAGACTGGAGTCTGCTTTAGATTCTGTGTCTCCCTCTTTCTCTGCCCCCCCCCCCTGCTCATTCTCTGTCTCTCTCTGTCTCAAAAATAAATAAAAACATTAAAAAAAAAACTGGATGATTTGTCTATTTAAAATTAAAAAAAAAAAACTTTTGTTGCTTTACAATTATTTTCTGTCACATTCAGTTATTTGTCAAGGTTCTGTCATTTCTCCAAAATTGCTTCTCATACCTGTTTCCATTTTTCATTTTTCACACTCCTCCGAATCAAATTTTTGTTCCCTCTCACCAGGGAAACATTTAACTTTCCAATCCACTATAATCCATCCTTCATGCTGCACAACAGGTCAGCTTTCTAAAACAAAGCTCTCACCAAGTCATTATCCTTCTTAAAAACGTCCCATGATTCCTCATTTTCTGGATCTTTTGCAGCTTTATCTTTTTTTAAAAAATTTTTGTTTTTAAATGTTCATTTATTTCGAGAGAGGGAGAGAGAGAGAGAGAGTGTGTGCGTGCTCACACGTTTGGGAGAAGCAGAGAGAGAAGGAGGGAGAATCCCAAGCAGGCTCCACTCTGTCAGCACAGAGCTGGATGCGAGGCTCAATCTCACCTACTGTGAGATCATGACGTGGGCTGAAATCAAGAGTCAGACAGTTAACCAACTGAGCCACCCAGGTGCCCCTGCAGCTTTATCTTTAACATTTCTGTGATGCAAATGCCTCAGAGTATGTGTGTTTCCACAGATTTCTTCTCATTGCTCCCACTTCTTGAACACCTTTCCTGTCCCTGCCTGCTAAATTCTAACCCTTCAAAGCTCAGCTCAAACTTTTCCCTTCTAGTAAGCCATCCTTCATCCACCCGGAATCAGTCTTCACCTTTGTGAAGTATTTTGCCTCTTGTAATAATTTTGTTCCTAAGTGTCTCCCCTTCACTGTTTTGAACTTGAGGGCATGGCTCATACTTTATTCTTCTCTGTGTTCCCTGCAGTGCCTTGCACAAACTGACACTTTAATGTTAATGTATAGCAAATACATTTTGCTAGTCTTTTGGCTGATTGAGAGAAAAGAAGAAATTAGAAAGAGGTAGGCAGAAATGGGTGGGGTGGGTAACAAATGGGATAAGAGCAACTGAGGGGGAGAACATGGTAGTATATTAGGAAGATTGCTGGGTTCTGATAAAAAAATCAGCTGGTGAAGGGGCAGGCACCTGGGCAGTTCAGTACTAGCGATCTTTGCTTTTGCTTGGCGTGTACCCTCTGTCTACAATAATCTCCCTTTACCCTATATCCACTGGAGTTCATATGTACATGTGTTTGAAGCAGTAGTTGACCAAGAAATTAAAGTGAACAGGGGCACCTCGGTGGCTCAGTTGGTTGACTGTCTGACTATAACGCAGGTCACAATCTCACTATTCGTGGGTTCGAGCCCCATATCAGTCTCTGCTGTCACTACAGAGCCTGCTTCAGATCCTCAGTCCCCCTTTCTCTCTGCCTCTCCTCCGTTCATGCTCTCTAAAAACTAAAAACATTAAAAGGAACTGATGATATAGAATTTTACCATTGGCCTCCAAGAAATTTCTTTTTGGTAAATTTAATATTTTATTTCCTTTGATGACTGTTTCAAACTTTCCCCACTCTGCCAAATGTAAATAGAATGACAGCAGTAAATACAGTGGGAAGAGCACAGAGCTGAGTACAAATCCTAGCTCTGAAACACAGAAGCCCTATGATTGCAGCCAAGACATTTAACTGCTGTGAGCCTTAGTTTCGTCATCTGTCAAGTTGGGATAATACGTGATGGATGTTAACTAGACTTGCTGTGCTGATATACAAATACCTAATCATTATGTTGTGCATCTGAAACTGATGTATGTTAATTATAGCCCAATAAAAAAATGACACAAAATTTGGGATAATACTACCTAATTTATCAATATTGTTATGAGGACTCAACAAGAAAGTTAATGTAAATTAATATATAGGAAGTGTGACCAATAAATGTTATGTGAGACAGGAAGGAACAGGAAATACAGGAGGACTAGGGGCACCTGGCTGGCTCAGTTGGTAGAGCTTGTGACTTTTTTTTTTTTTAAGCTTATTTATTTATTGAGAACATGAGCAGGGGAAGGGCAGAAAGACCAAGAGAGAGAAAATCCCAGGCAGGGTCCTGTCAACACAAAGCCGAACGTGGGGCTCTATCTCAGGAATTGTGAGATCATGACCTGAGCCACAATCAAGAGTTGGACACTTAACCGACTGAGCCACCCAGGTGCCCCCAAGCTTGTGACTCTTGATCTGCAGGTCCTGAGTTCAAGCCCACATTGGGTGTAGACTACTTAAAAAATACATATGGACCACAATGCATTAAACAAAAGGTTGAATCAAAAAGTTTATTTGTAAAGTTCCAGGTTAGTTGCAGTGAAGGATACAAAAGAAATATTACTTCCATTTTTAATGAAAATACAATCTAATATGGATTAAATTATTCAATTTTGACAATGTAAAGTCAGTTAATAAAAGCACTTTACCATTCACGTTAACATTCCTGTTTACAAAGCCCTGTGAGAGGGTAAGGATTGTTATTTTCATAATTGTAGCTTTTGATAACATCACAATATTATAACAAGTAAAAATATAATCTTGCAACCTCAGCGCATTAAACATCTATTTTTCCTTCCTAAGACTTTTTCACTGCATACCTAATTTTTAGTCATCACTTCTTTCCATGCCACATAGTAGCTGCAATTATTCCTGTTTTACAGAAGAAGAAACAGGTTTAGAAATGTCAGATGCAAGGGCAAGGGCAGAATTTGATCCAGATTACTTAACTTCATTCAAGGTTCATTAGTACCCCAGTCACAGAGGTAAGCCATTTTTTCCAAGAGTAGAACAGGTGGGAAAGTTTGTTCAAATAGAGGCTGCTATCAATTATCATTCTACCACCTTTACTGTGGGCCATTGGACTTTTCTTTTCTCTCTTCTTTTCTGTTCCTTTCCCTTTTTCCTTTTTTATTTTCTTGTCTTGACCTGATCCTCCCGCTCTTCTGCCCAAGGTTGGATCACACCTTCTTTCTCATTTTAAAATCTTCTACACATCATAGGGCCATTTATTCGAGGAATATTTATTGAACACCAACCATAATACATAGGGAAAACGTGCTAGGTGTTGGCAATATGCTGGAGAGCTTACATGAATCAGGAACCACAAAAATCACATTTGCCTTTTATTTTCCGCTACCTTTGGAGTCTTAGCTTTTCTTTTCTTTTTTAAATTTACTTATTTTGAGAAAGAGCTTGAGTTGGGGAGGGACAAAGAGAGAGGAAGAAAGAATGAGGATCCCAAGCAGGCTCCGCGCTGTCAGCGCAGAGCCCAACGAGGGACTTGAACTCAGGAATCCCCGAGATCACGACCTGAGCAGAAACCAAGAGTGGGAGGCTTAACTGAGCCACCCAGGCACCTGGGGAGTCTTAGCTTTTGAGTAAATGTCACAATTTCCACTCCTTTAACACACGTTTAAGTCTCAACCACCTAACAGCGCTGCCAGGAACCGCCCAGAGATGTCTATTCCACCACCCAGGACAACACAACCTAAGCTCTAACTCGAAATTTCCCTAACAGGAATAAAGGTTGGAAATGGCATTTCCAGTGTGTTCCCTAGAACGAACTTCCGCCCAGCCAGTACAAACGTAGAGAGACATCCTTAGGTGAGACCTACTCAAAATTAAGAAAAGGCATCCTACGTCTGTCTGATTTCTTAATGAGACCATTTTATTTTTGTTGATTTTAGAGAAGAGACCGAGATTTAAAAAAAAAAAAAAAAAAAAAAAAAAAAAAGCCAGTAGGCGGAAAAAACAACCAGTTATTATGACAACCAAACGGGTCTGGAAAATTCAGCCAATCCACCAATCCACCTGCGGGAATGCCTCCTGCGTAGCCAATAGGAAGAGCGCGTCGTACGTAAGGCCGCCCAATGGGGGCGCGAGCAGCGCGGTATTTGAATCCCGTAACAAGGAGACATTGCGAAGATCCTAAGCAGAGCAGGCTGGAGTGCAGAGCTAACGGCGCCGCGGAAGCTTCTCTCCACCATCTCCGGTCCTCGTCCCTCCCTGGGTCGGGCTGGCACTCTTGCCTGTCCCTTCCCCCATGGCGCTACTCCGACGCCCGACGGTGAGTGGGCCCAGCCGACTCCTTCTCCCCCCACCTCCCCACCCACTGACCAGGGGCTTCGGCGGAGCAGCCTCCTCACCCGCCTCTAGCTGCCCCCTCTCTTCTACGCAGGGCTTCTTCCTCCCAACCGCCGCGCCGCTTTCCCGTTCTGCCGGGTTACCTTTTTTCCCCGCGGCCCAGGCCTGCGGCCTGTCCTCTTTTCGGGCCTCTCCCCTCCTGGGATCCGCTCAGGGTTCCCCGCTTTCGCCCTGGCCAGTCCCAGCCCTAGGGTGGGGAAAGTGTAGGAAAGGAAAGCGCCTCGTAGGTGGCACCTGTCAAGTGAGCCTTTCCAGCACTGGACTTCTCAGCGAGCGATCCCGTAGTGATCTTTGTTGTTAGAGTGCTCGCTAAATAAAGGTTGTTGTAATTGCCTTCCCTGTTCTCAAACTCCGTGGTGGGGATGGAGAGCACTGGAAGAAACGCTGTAGGTAGTAAAGTGTTCTGAATGTTTGATCAAGTAACAGTTAAGGATTTTTCACATTTCGCTCTAAGTTTGCCATTTATTTCTGCATAGGAAGTCTCCCAGGCTAAGTTCACTAACGTACAGATTTGTCCCTTTCAAAAATTCAATTTCTTCAATCAAGTGTAAAAGAGATTTTACATTTAATGTAGAACAATATGGCAGCCAGAGAGAAGGGTCCAGATTCATTTATTTCATCTTTGCAAAAATCCAAGTGTTAATGGTGTTTTGGAGATATCTATATCTATATCTATCTATACATATCTATATCTATATCTATATCTATATCTATATCTATATCTATATCTATATCTATATCTATATGTTTGTTTTGTTTTGTTTTGTTTTGTTTTCCTGTGGGCTTGACTTGTACTTGATCTGTTTTTCCTTTGCTGAAAAAGAGAGGGCCCTGACACACCTGAGTTCTATCTTCCTGGCTATAAGGCTGGTTAAAAGCTGACAGTTTTCTCCTCCATATGGATTTAAACTTAGATTACACATAAGCATTAAAATTTCAAATACTTTTTAAAATTGGCAGTTACTGCTGGAAAAAATTGAAGAGTGTGCTTTTGAGAATCCTAAAAATTGAATGAATACAATCAGTACTTAATTCCTATCCTTTTGTGGATGTAAGTTAAACTGACAAGTAGTTTTTGTCTAATCTGTCCCATGAAGTTCTTCCATAGTCAAATTCTTGTTTTTAAATGTTTATTTAGGGGCGCCTGGGTGGCGCAGTCGGTTAAGCGTCCGACTTCAGCCAGGTCACGATCTCACGGTCCGGGAGTTCGAGCCCCGCGTCGGGCTCTGGGCTGATGGCTCAGAGCCTGGAGCCTGTTTCCGATTCTGTGTCTCCCTCTCTCTCTGCCCCTCCCCCGTTCATGCTCTGTCTCTCTCTGTCCCAAAAATAAATAAACGTTGAAAAAAAAAATTAAAAAAAAAATAAATGTTTATTTATTTATTTTGAGAGAGAGAGAGCATGAGAACATGTGAGCACAAGTAGGGCAGGGGCAGAGAGAGACAAAAAGAGAAAAAGAATCCCAAGGAGGCTCCCCACTGTCAGTACAGAGACCTCAGTGGCTCCATCCCACCAACCTTCAGATCATGACCTGAGCCAAAATCAAGAGTCCCATGTTTAACCTACTGGGCCACCCAGGTGCCCCCATAGTCAAATTCTTTCTATTCAGGGAAGGCTTGAGTTTTCTTCTGCCCCTCTGTTCTGGTAGGTCCATTCTGTCCATTGTGGAAGGCCCATTCAAATCTCCTGTTGGGAGATTTTTTTAGGATTGAAAAATTTAGGACCCACAGTTTTTAGGGATAGGACATGCTGTTTTTTTTCTCATGAAACGTTCACTTCTATAATAAACTTGTCTGTATGAATTGTTTTTTCTGGCAAGTTTTGTTTCTAAACATACTCTGTCTAAAGCAGGTTAAGGTCATCCAATGGTTTTTTATTTCATACCATTTCAACTTTGTCTGAATTTTAGAGTAAAATTATTTTACCTGTGAAAACTATTTCTAAATATTCTTTTTTAAGTATTTATTTCTAATGTTTATTTTTGAGAGAGAGAGACAGTGTGAGCGGGGCAGGTGCAGAGAAGGAGAGGGAGAGGGAGACACAGAATACAAAGCAGGCTCAGGGTTCTGAGCTGTCAGCACAGAGACAGAGCAAGAGAGCGAGCACGTGAGAGCAGGGTAGGGGCAGAGAGAGGGGGACACACGGAGCCCAATGTGGGGCTTAAACTCATGAATTGTCAGCTCATGACCTGAGCCAAAGTTGGACACTTAAGGGACTGTGCCATCCAGATGCCCTCTAAATATTCTATTCTATTCTATTTATTTACATTTATTTATTTTTGAGAGACAGAGTACAAGTGAGGGATGGGCAGAGAGAAGGAGACACAGAATCCGAAGCAGGCTCCAGGCTCCGAGCTGTCAGCATAGAGCCACACCCAGGGCTTGAACCCACAAACCGCGAGATCATGACCTGAGATGCAGTCGGATGCTCAACGGACTGAGCCACCTAGGTCCCCCAAGATGCCCCCTAAATATTCTTAATATAAGAGTGTCCCTTCCCTCTCTCTCTGCCCCTCCCCTGTTCATGCTCTGTCTTTCTCTGTCTCAAAAATAAATAAACGTTGAAAAAAAAATTAAAAAAAA